ACATAATCTTTCACCTGCATGCCATCTAGTATTATTTGCATCATTTATATTAGCAAACATTCCCTGGAACCTTTAAATTATCGGTAGGTACCATATCACCTTAGAAGGAACACCCTTTATATTTACACCATTGTCATTCTTCTATTAGTGTGACTCCCCATAACTCCGACACTCCTTCATGTTTTCATACTCTTTACTATATAATATGCAATCATTATTACAAGCATGTATTTTGACATAGTCTAGACCTATTGGAAATAATATTTTCTTGGACTCATAACTACGGTTCAATAACATGTTACCTTTTGGAAGCATTTCTTGCAACAATTCAAGCAATTCAGTGAAACTTTTATCCGTTCACCCACCTCTTGGCTTAAGATTAAATAGTCTTAACACAACTAACAATCTTGTAAAAAATTTGCATCCCGGATATAACGACTCTTCGAGGCCTCTTTGCAAAGTATCTTCCACATGAGCTTTCTTAAAAACATCTACTCTAGTATTATGAATCATATCTTCTAAAGTATCATTCATGAATTCATCATCTTTAACTCTATGTGACATAAGTATTTTTTGTCACTTCACCATGTCATATCCATTTTGTGTAATTTTGAATAATTTCATCACAACCTAAATGATTGAATATAACAAGGGATACTGACAAGGCCAAAAACCAAATTCGGATTCGGGTGCTCTTGCCGAGGAAGAATGGAATGATTCTTGCCACTTTTTCTTCCCTTATGCTGATGTTGACTCTGATCGCCTTGAATACTATCCTTTCCTTAGGAATAGCAGGAAAGATCAGATCTGTGAAGACTATGGGTCAGGGGTCAGGATATTTAGTTAAACCTGCCCCAATCTTTAACTTGGGAATAAAATATTTAAAAAAGATCCTCCCGAAAAAGCTTGAACGTGTCGAGCAGAAGTCTTTCCAAAGACAAGTATGGTTAAGCTTCTTGTCCCACCTCCTAATGGAAACTGGTCTTTTTGTCTGACATGCCAAGAGAGCCTCTGACTACATTTCATGCCAGATCCTTGCTTGGGTTATCCTTTATCATTTTTTCTAAGCTAGTTCACCTAATTTTTTTGGAAGACTTGACTTGTTCATTAGCCTGAGCAAAGGTGTTGAGTGAATCATTTCAACAAAAACTATATATATTAGCAAACTGTTTTACTTGATCACCTATGAAAACTCTACCTTGATCGGCAACCAAGGCAAAGGAATCTGAATCTACTTAGCTACACGTCGAAGGTATTCTTCAATATCCTGATCTTGAAATCGTGTAAGATGAAGAAGCTCTTCTTCGAATTAAAACAAGGGACTTTGAAAAAGGTCTCATCAGGAAGGACGTCAGACAACATGATCCGAGGAAAAAAGGCTTTCATCAATACCGTGGGAACCCGAATTCAAAAGAGAAAGCTCGGTGCAGCTACACACCTGCAAGCTTCGGTAGCTGAAGAAGAGTTGTTCTCACAAGGAAAATAAAGATGATTTACCAAGGGTATCCCTAAGTAAAGATGCCGAAGTCCAAGGTGTCGAAATTACACGGGAAAGCCCATTATCTTGTTCTTACTAACCCAGCAGCCTAAAGGACCTTAGAGTTTGCAAGGTCACCAGCAGTGGTGTGAGGGAGCCACAAACAAACGCTTCCCTATTCTTTCACAAGAAAGACTTATATTAATGATCCAGTCTCTTTTCGTTTTAGGAAACCGTCGAAATAGCAAAGACAGAGCTGGCGATTTTTCCCCAATCAGCAACTGCATAAGAAAACGGCCCCCATGTTTATTTTGCCTCATATGATACACAAATTCCAAAGACACTGTCTATATCTGTCTACTATTGATTCGGGTGCAAAAATAAAAAGAGCTTATTATCAAACTTCCCCTTCTTCCTCAAAGCACTTTGACTCTTTAAGAATGGGAGTGACAGTGGACAAAGCTAGTGAATTGAATACCAGACGGGGTATAAGGTTCTTTTCCTATTGAATCAGATCAAATTCCATGAAGGTAGTGAGTTACCTACTAGTCGTAGGGAAGGAAAAGCTATTACACAAACAAGCCAGTTTTGCCAGGCTGAAGTAATGCTTGTATAATCTGCTATTTCAACATCATCATATTTACCTCTAACGAATGGAACTTCCTAAGACTAGGTGAACAAGGTCTTTTCTAAGAAGCATGTTGACAAAGCAGAAATGGCACACACCCACTAAAGTATTTACAGATAAGCTCGGCACCTTACGGCCATGTGCCTAGGATCCCCTGAGTGCTCTAAGGATTACAGTCCAAATCCTATAGGAATTGAAATACCACACTCAGATCGGTGAATCTATCAGGTTTCTTTCTCTTCCTTCGGGATTCATTAATAGAACTTAAATGCAGGAATAAGCACATAGACCATAGGTATGGAAGAATTAAAATTCATTCATGTGCTTATATTTCTCATTTTTCCTAGGAGAACAGGTTGGGTTACCGTAAAGTAAAATACAACTAACTATGCTCTGGTTTTTTCCTTGCCAAGGCCTTTTGACACGGGATCAGCCAGATCTCATATGGACTCCACATACTCACTGGAAATTTTGTCAAGATCCTTCTCACATACATCAGACACATCCTTTAGATGTTTTTCGGTATTTTGGCAAATTTTACAAGGACACCAAAAATCTCATTATCGTTAGGAAGATTTTTTCTCTCTTAGTGAATTCAAGAAATTGAATCACTCCATTCTCATACTATTTACTTAATTTATCGGCTCTCATCCAACTACGATCCATAATCACATACAACCTCTGAAAATAAAATAAAAATGAACATTCCAAAATAAAACAACAAAAACTACAAATAACTAAAAAAAAAATAACACTACATAATACCCTAAATCTCAAAATCCATAAAAATAAAAATAACAACAACGACGACAACAACAACAAAAACAAGAACGACAACAACTACAAATACATCAATAACAACAACAACATGGAGAAAGTTTTATATATTGTAAACGTGATGAGAGAATCAAAGAAAAGTGTTGATTTGAGGTCTGAGCTTTCTTCCTCCCTAGAGAAGGTGGTGTTTAAGTTCGTTAGGTGGAGAAAATGGTAGTTCGTTAGATGGAGAAGAATGGTGTTTGGTTTGCTAGGGCATAAAAAGTGAATGAAAATTAACATTCTGTTGAGCGAGTAAAACATTGTTTAGAGTTTAGATCTCGATTTTCATAAAAACTATGAGAACATAACTGAGGTAAAAAAATACATTCAATTTAATTAAATAAAATATCAATTAGCATTTAATGTCGGTTTCTGAAGAAAAAAAAACTGAGATAAGATATTTCATAATATAAAGGAGAAATTTTGGTTATAAACAAATCATAAATTTGCAAGAACAGGAAATCTAAGCTCAAACCTTAAGCTACATATCATGTGGTTTTCTGCAAAACTGAGGGATAAAATTAAACTTAAAAATAAGACACGTTACATTTCATTTGACTTTGGATTTTCGTTTGTAGAAGTGAAAGCTTTGTCTTGAAGTATATTATTTGTAGTAGTGTGTGGAGAAGCATCTCCAATCTTGTTATAAATGGTTCCCTTAAGCTAATCACGAGCACTAGACAATTGACTTTTCCTTCTCATATTTTTAATCCATATGATATTCTAATCTTATGCAAAGGAACGAATTCCAATTTTAGGGTTCTTATTACTCTCTTCTCCAAGTATGTAGCTTCTTCTGGTCAGAATTTTAACCCTTCATAGTCCACCATTTTTGCTGGGGGCATAGCATCTCATAGATTAAATTCTATTCCTCACAGTACTGGTTTTAGCAATGGAAATTTCCTCTTCAACTACCAGGGCATTCCTATATTCAAAGGGAGGGTAAAAGCTATTCATATGCAGACTATTGCTGACAGGTTGATTTATAAATTCACTGCCTAGAAATATTCTCTGCTTTCTATTGCAGACATGGTTCTTATGGTTCAAGATGTCATTTATACAATGATCACTCATTCCATTTGTGTGTATTCGTGCTCCCACATAATGACTCAGGTTACCTTCACTAGAATCAACACTAAGCTTCCTCTAATGTAGCCCTAGTCCCTTGACAGATCAGAGCTAGATGGCACAATTGTTTTGGATATGTCCTTCATTATTACTCACATTTTTAGGGAAGAAAATAATTGTGCAAACTTTTTTTTCATTAATCATATTTTTTAAAATTTAGTCTCAATTGCAAAAAATCTGGTAGGTCATACATAAAATTGAATATAGGTGTTTATCGAATTAATTGAAAAATTCGGCACGTATCAAAAGATTTGTTAGTTGTTACAAAAAATCCGGTATAGCAGCTATATTTTCACTCGTTAAAAATTTGATATTTCTGCATCTATTTTTAATAAATTTATATTTTTACTGACAATTTTAAAATTATCTTTAAAAATACATAAATACATACCACATATTTATTAATGGCCGACAAAAATGCAAATAAATTTTTTGAATTTTTCAAACATTTTAAATTACAGATATAAATCCCTAAATTTGGTATCCAATATTTAACAAAGGTTAATAAAAAAATATAGTTCAATAAATATCTGATATCCTATAAAAATTATATGTATAAAAGTATAAATTAAATCATGAATTTTAAACGAGACAGTTGAGCAGATAGGTGGACTCAAAATTCCAATTCGCGTGAAATGGCATGTCAAATGAAAGCGTTGATAGGTAGATTCCTCAAAAGTTTCAAATGATTGAGATTCCAAATGATATGAACTCAGGGAACACGCATCTATTAACAATCACGTGCATAGCTACACATGTATTAACAATCACGTGCATAGCTACACATCTAACTTTCCACATCTACCCAATCACGGGCTTTGCTAACTTTCTTTCTTCTCAATTAAAATCGTGTGAATGTGAATGAGTTGCACATTTATAAACACCATTTCCATAAGAAGCTCGTAACATTCATCACAAGCTCTTGTTCATTTATCAAATCTAAAAATCATGAATCAAAAAGTATGCATAGCCATGATTCCTTGTCCAGGAATAAGCCACTTAATACCACTTATAGAGTTTGCAAAACTACTTGTTCTTCATCACAAAAACTTCCATGTAACCTTCCTCATTCCAACTCTTGGTTCTCCCACACCTTCAACCCAATCCATCTTAAACTCTCTTCCACCTAACATTGATTTCACCTTCCTTCCTCAGATCAACATCCAAGATCTTCCTCCCAACATTCACATAGCCACACAAATGAAACTAACTGTTCAACGCTCTCTACCTTATTTGGACCAAGCCGTTAGTACAATCTTATCTTCTACAAAATCAAAAAACAACCTCGTTGCTTTGGTTTTTGATGTTTTCTCGAGTGATGTAATTGATATAGCTAAAAAGTTCAATCTCATGACATATTTTTTCGCAGCTTCATCAGTTATAGCACATCAATTCTGTCTTAGTCTTCCAAAACTAGATGAAACTGTTTCCTCTGAGTTCCTCGACACAACAAAAACATTTGATATTCCAAATTCTAATGTTTCTTTTAAGGTAAAAGATTTTCCCGACCCGGTTCTTTTCAAAAGATCAAGTGAAACATACAAAGCTTTTATTCTTCTATGTCAAAGACTCTTTTTAGTGGATGGAGTCATCATCAATAGCTTCACAGATTTGGAACCCGATGCGGTAAAATCTTCGCAAGATTTTGTACCTGCTTACCCTGTTGGACCTATCATTCAAAGAGAGTCAAAAAGTAGAGAAAATGAGTTAGAGTGTATTAGATGGTTGAACAAAAAGCCTTCAAAATCAGTTTTGTTCATCTCATTTGGAAGTGGTGGAACACTCACTATTGAACAAATCAATGAGATAGCTTTTGGATTAGAATTGAGTGGTTGTAATTTTCTGTGGGTTATCAGGGTTCCAAATAAGATTTCATCTTCTGCTTATTTTAGTGGATCATCACAAAAAGGTAATTCTAATTCTAATTCTGATTTTGATGATGACCCATTCAATTATTTGCCATTGGGTTTCTTGGAAAGGACGAAAGATCAAGGCTTGGTGGTTCCATCATGGGCACCACAAGTTGAAATTCTAAGTCATGGTTCAACGGGTGGTTTTTTAAGTCATTGTGGTTGGAGTTCATGTTTAGAGGGTTTGGTTTATGGTGTGCCTATGATTGCATGGCCACTTTATGCTGAGCAGAGAACGAATGCAGCAACACTCACGGATGTTTTTAAAGTGGCCGTTAGGCCAAGAATTGATGAACAAGATGGGATCATAAAAAGAGAGGAAGTTGCAAGAGTTATAAAGATTATAATAGATGGTGAAAGTGAAGGTTTGAAATTAAGAACAAGAATTGAAGAGGTGAGAGATGGGGCTGTTGCTGCTTGGAGTGAAGGTGGTTCTTCTAGGATGGCACTTTCAAGTTTAGTGATCAAATGGGAGGAAAAAGTAAGTCAGAAAGTTATGGATTAGTTAAGTGAAAAATATTAACATAAAAACTATATGATTATTGTGTGCCGTAAATAATTTATTTGTACAACTATATGATTATTTTGTGTTGTCAATAATTTATTTGTACAACTATATTATTATTGTGTGAAGCTGTCGTTCCCTTAATAGAAGAGGAATTATATGGACTATTTTGTGTATATAATGTATCATGATCAGAATGAATAATATATCAGAATTATTACTTTGAAAACTTCTATATGGTATCAAGAGCAGGCACTGTTTCTCTTTTAATATAGAAAACGAAAGTTTTTTATTTCTTAGTAATTTCGGATGACTTCTGATAAAAACAAATCGGAGAATTCTGGAACTTCCGATGTTGTCCAATTCAACGATGCACTCACCCCAGGCTTGACGATGGCACTAACTACGTCGAATGGTCGTTGAATGCACAGAACAAAATCAGAGGCAGAAAACGATGGGGTTACGTTACCGGAACAAAGACTGCATCAGTAAAAGATAAATCTGATGAATATGAAGCATGGGAAGATGAAAAATGCTTGGTCAAGTCTTGGCTTCTGGACTCCATGACCAAAGAAATCAGATCCCTTTTCATTCGCTTAGCTACGGCGAGAGAAATTTGGGAAACTGCGAAACAAACGTACTCAGTCGACCAAGATGCATCAAGAGAGATTAATTCTCAACGAGTTTATGTTTTTTTGGCTGGTTTGGATTCACATTTGGATGGAGTTTGTGGTCGTGTTCTGGCTACCACTCCGCTTCCTAATGTTCAATCAATTTATACAATTGTATGTGCATAAGCAAATCGCCAAGAAGCTATGCTAAAAGGTGAGTCTTCGAATGGGTCGACCTTAGCTGTCAAGAAGTATTTGAAGAAAGAAGTCCGCAAGTGTAATCACTGCAATGGAGATAATCATGTCATGAAGACATGTTTTAAACTCCATGGCTACCCGGAGTGGCATCCAAAGGGAAAAACTACTTCGAATAATAAGACAGAAAACAACAAGGCTCATCTTTCTACTGCTGTCGATTTTGTAACCAAGTCAGGCATGTCTAACTCTGCTCATAATCCTTCTGTTATTATTAGAAATAACGATTGGATAATCCATACAGGTGCTACTGATCATATGATTTGTGATCAACATATGCTTACTAATTTCTCTCCTAACTGTCATAAATCTGTTATTATTACCGCCAATGGAGTAAAATCTCCCATTGAAGGTGTTGGTACAGTGACCCTATCACCCTCCCTATCAATATCTATTGTCTTATTTGTTCCTACCTTGAATTGCAATCTTATCTCTGTCAGTAAATTAATAAAATCACATTTATGTGTTGCTGTGTTTTATCCAACCCACTGTATTTTTCAGGATATACATACCAAGGAGAAGATTGGCAGTGGTAGATATAGTGAAGGATTGTATTATCTTGAAAATTTTCACAAATCCATAAAGGAGCATTGGTTCATATTGCAAGTGATCACATACAAGATAAAAATAAAAAAATTATTTGGCTATGGCATAGACGATTGGGGCATCCCTCTTTTAGTTATCTAAAAAAATTATTTCCATCGTTATTTGATAAATGCAACATTTCATATTTTCTTTGTGAAACTTGTGTAATGGCAAAAAGTCATCGTGCTATTTTTCCTGTAAGTAATAAGAAAATAGATTTTTCTTTCTCTTTAGTACACACTGATGTTTGGGGTCCTGCTCCACAATCTACACATAATGGAAAAAATGATTTATTAGTTTTGTTGATGATTGTACACGGGTAACCTGAGTATATTTGCTTCAACATAAAAGTGATGTGTATGATGTGTTTCGCTCCTTTCATCAAATGATAGTTACACAATTTAACACATGTATTAAGTTAATTAGATTCGACAATGGAGGGGAATATTTTAAGAAAGAATTAAAAGATTTTTTGAACTCTAAAGTCATTTTCCATCAACAACATGTCCTTATTCCCCCTAACAAAATGGAATGGCCGAGAGGAAAAATATGCACATATTAGAGGTGACAAGAACACTCCTAATTGATGGTAATGTTCCATCTCATTTGTGGGGTGAGGCTGTGAATTCTGCAGTTTACTTAATTAATCGAACCCCTTCTAGTGTGCATAACTTTAGAGGGCCTCTAGATGTTTTATCTGATCATCACGTTCTCCCTTCCATCGTTGATTTACTACCTCATGTTTTTGGATGTGTTATATATGTTCACTTACACCCACATCAACATACAAAACTTGAAAACGAGCTCTTAAATATGTCTATGTTGGGTATGGATCAACTCAAAAAAGTTACCTTGCTTATCATCCATCATCTAAATTTTTTTTATATTTCTATGGATGTAACTTTTCATGAAGATAACTTTTTTTTTATGTTGATTCTACACTTCAAGGGGGAATGAAAGTGAAGTGCAGCACCACGATGTTAGTATATGTTTGACTTATTTTGTGAAGATAAATTATCTTGTGAGGATCATTCTGCAGGGAATGAATTGGTCTCAAATATGAACTCATCACCTTTAGATGATAAAATTTCCCCCTGATCATAATCAACTAGCTCAATCTTCTCCACAAGATCAAGTTGACTCTCCAGAGGTATTTCCTGATTCTATTCCTGATAATACAATTATAAATGGAGTTGATATTAATGATCATTCTGAAGTTGATTCCTTTTTTCATAAAATTGACTCTAGTTTTCATGAGGCCACCAACACACCTAACATTGAATCCACTATTGTCCAATATAATCTTCCACCTCGTTCTAACAGTGGTCAACCTCCAATTAGATATGAACCAAACCTTCAATCCAAAGTTAAATATCCCATTAGTAATTATGTGTCATCTTACAAGTTATCTAAGTCATATGCATAAATTGTATCTACAATGACGAGTCTTTGAGGAAAAGATCTATAATGATGAACCTTTGTATAAATTTTAGGGACTTAAATGCTAATACTCCAAAAGATGAATATCCAATGCCTGTGGTAGAAATGCTAGTCGATTCAACAACAAGATTTGAATATCTAAATCTTCTAGATGGTTATTCTGGATATAACCAAATTTATATTGCAGAAGAAGATGTGCTGAAAACGACATTTGATGTCTTAGAGCCTTTCCTACGAATGGTTAGTGATTCCTTTTAGCCCAAAGAATGGTGATGCAATTTATTAGAGGGACATGGATTACATGTTCCATGACTTCATTGAGGCCTTCTTGCAAATACGTTGATGATATAGTTGTTAAATCCCCGTCAATAAATGGTTATTTAAACCACAATCGACAATCCTTTGAAAGGATAAGGAAATATAGATTGAAAATAAATCCATTAAAAAGTGTTTTTGGTATCCATGCATCAGATTTTCTAGGCTTCATGGTTCACAAAAAGGCATAGAAATAAAACAAAACAAGACGAAGGTTACACTCAATACGAACTCTCCAACAAACAAAACATAATTTCAATCTCTACTAGGAAAAATAAATTTCTTGAGGAGGTTCATCTCGAATCTAAGTGGCAAAACAAAAGTGTTTTCAGCACTGATGCGCTTAAAGAAAGAAGAAGGATTCATATGGGATCCAGAACATCAAAGAAAATTTGATGAAATTAAAAGTTATATGTCGAATCCTCCTATTATATTGCCTCCCATGAAAAATGTACCTATGAAGTTGTATATTTTTGTATTTGAACTGACAATAAGAAGTATATTAGCCCAAGAGGATGATGATAGTATCGAAAGATCCATTTATCACCTCACTTGAGTTTTAAATGATGAAAAAACTATGTATAGTCCTATATAAAAGTTGTGTTTGTGTTTGTATTTCTCATGTACTAAATTGAAATATTATATAAATTCAATTGACATATTTATGTATTCTCATTTTGATTTTATTAAGCATATGTTGTCGAAACCTATTTTACATAGTCGAATTGGAAAAAGGGTTCTGGCTTTAACTAGATATTCTCTAACTTATGTGTCTTTAAGGGCTGTGAAAGGCCAAGTTGTTGCTGAATTTACTGTTGATCACACAATAGTCAAAGTAACGCAAAGTTATATTGACCTAAAGCCTTGGAATTTATACTTTGATGGTTTTAGACATAAACACAAGACTAGTATTGGAAATTTGATTATCTCTCCTTAAGAGATTCCAACTAAGTTTAAATTTAAAACCAAAGCTTGGTGTTCAAACAATGAGGCCGAGTATGAAGCTTTAATTGTAGGCCTTAAGATTCTTATAGACTTGAGGCCTTAAAGCTGATTTAGAGTTGGTTGTGAAACAACTGATAAAAGAGTACAAATGTATCAAGGAGAATTTAATGATATACTTTGTAAAAAGAAATTCATTGTTAAGAAGTGTTATTCCTTTTGGATTGGGTGTATTAGCCAAAATAACATATGTACAAGATGTATTTTAGGCAAGATGTGGAATAAGATGTGGAACAAGATGTTCCAACGTTCCAGTATTTTATTTTGTTGTCAAGAAGAATTGTTAGCTAAAATACTTGATAGAACTAGTTAAGAAAATAACTATTTTTTTCTTAAAGTATTTGATCGAATTAGTTAAGAAATATGGTGGATAAAATGCTTAACAAAATTAATTAAACAATAAAACTTAAATTTGAATTCTGATTGTCTTCTGATATGTTATAATTATGTATATCAATCTTTTAAATTTTTGAGAGACCTAAATGAACGATTATAATAATCTAAATAGTAGATGCATATCACCAACATGATCATCTTATATATATGATTATGATAGACTACAGTCTTGATTGGAACTTCTTAACAATTTCTAAATTCATTCCCTTAGATATTAGGAAGGATTTTGTTTAAAATAGACTAGAAATGACTACTTTTAAATTTACTTCTTTTTATTGAGTTGACTTTATAACAACTTCCTCTTTTGTAATCTTTTTAGTTTATCAGTCTATACATGAGGTCTTAATAAGAAAAAAACATATGATGTCTCACATTATATATTAAAAAAAAGAAGTC